TCATTCCCTACAGCCCCCAGGGGCCCTGAACAGCGACCTCCCCTCCCCAGAGGTGCCCGTGGCCTCCCAAGTTATTTTTTTAACTCTATATAAATTTAGGTCTATTTTAGTCTTTCTGCAGCGATGTGCCAGTGTCTGGAGAACCAAACATCCCTTTTTTCCCCCCATCCCCTGGTCCCTCGATGCTAAACCGGGCCCTTGGTGCGAGATCTGCCGGAGCCGTGTCCTGGGGAGCGCCGGGATGGGGGAGCAGCCGCGCTGGGACGGGAGGATCCGGGGCTTTGGTGGGAGCAGGGCCCAGCTCCGGCCAGGAGTCCGTGTTTTTAGCACTTTGGTTGGAACTCTCACCTGTAGACGCACTTTGATGTTGTTGCTTTGAAACTTTGGCAAGTGTAAACAATGTGTATTTAAAGAATTACAGAGAAACGACCCCCAGCGAAGCGTGTAAAGAGCTATTTTATGACTCGGTGTTGAATAAAGACTCTGGAGATCGAGCTGGGTTTCCACTCTGCCGGGGGTCACACTGGATCCACACCAGTGACACCAGTTTGGGGCCTCCTGGAAGCGTCCCCCTGCCTCCCCTGCAGGTCCCTGGGCCCAGGGCACTGCACCAAGGGGGACCCAGGGAACAAAGGGGGACCCAGGGGGGCACCGAGGGCGGGCAGGCCCTGGCACAGGGTGCCCAGAGAAGCTGTGGCTGCTCCTGGATCCCTGAAGTGTCCGAGGCCAGGTTGGATGGGGCTGGAGCAGCCTGGGACGGTGGGAGGTGTCCCTGGATGATCTTGGTGGTCCCTTCTAACCCAAACCATCCCATGGTTCTGTATTTCCTCCACTGTCCTCCTTTAACACTTGTAACCCAGCAGACCCGAGTCCCCCCTTGTTCTCCCAGCACCATTTTCCTGTCAGAGTCCCCCCAAATGCCTGGATCCATCCTCGGAGCCGTCACACAGCTGCTGCCCCGAGCCTCCTGCCATGAAGCAAACAGGAAAATGAAAATGTCCCACTGAGCAGAAGCCAGGTAAAATGCCAGAGGACACCCCGGAGCTCCAAGCACACCCACAGAGGTGCCCCGTGCCAGCACTCCTGGCACATGTCTGGAGCCCGTCCTGCTCTCCAGCACAGCTCCTGCTCTCAAACGGGGCAGAAAGCAGCAGGGAAGGTTCCTTAGCTCCAGCCCTGAGCTCTCACCTCTGCAGAACGGAGCAGAGAACAGAGCCCGACCTGCCACCGAGCCCAGCTGTGTTTGTGCTGCTGGAGCCGGGGTTTACAGTGCCCAGCAGGAGAAACAAATCAGCACCAACAGGGCCAGCTGTGCCCGTGCCACCTCCAGCTGTG